AGTGGCTTCTTCTGGGATGAGACATTTGTTCCCTGGGAGTGACAGCCCCATCTGAAATACATTCAGTTCCTAATGTCTTGGGAGCTTCTGTACCTTCTCACGGGGTACAGAACCGTGAGAGGGAGGCAGGTCAGGGAAGCTAAAAAGGATGAAGCTGGCAGGACTGGGCCCCACCATGGCTCCTCCTCTGCCCACTGGGGCCTCACTAGGCTGTTCCTCAAGAGGCCTTCAAACCTCTTCCAATGAGGCTCTTGGGTGGCTCCTGGGGACTGGACACAGGACAAAGGGCTCACAACAGTTTCTGGGCTCTGTGGGCTCACTCTGCTGTGCACAGGCTGCTCCTTGTAAAGGTTTCTTTGCCAGTGTTGGCTCAAGCAGGTCATGGAAGACACATGAAAAGAATGTTTGCTTTCTTTAGGGAACAGAAAGAGACACAGGAGACAGTCCAGGTTCAAAATCTCTAAAGATGTACGTGTGAGATAGAGAGACAGACAGACAGATAGACAAGATGAAGAACACACATAACAAGCGGAAAGATAAAGAAAGGCAGATAAGTAAAGCGAAAAAGAAAAAATATGAAACATGAAAAGAAAGAAGAAAGGGATAGAGGGAAGGAGAAAGGAAGGAGAGGAAAATAGAATGGAGGAAATAAATTATGGGGGAAAAGAAAGATTGGTTGATTGTGAAAAGAAAGATGGGGAGAAAGAGAGAAGCACAGTGTCTTAGTCACTTTTCTTTTGTTGAGACAAAATCCCTGATGCTCAAAATTAGGGAAGGGAAGATTTTTTACAATTTTGGAGGTTTCAGTCCATACTCAGTTGTCAAGAGAGCACATCAGGGTCATGGTACTAGTGCCTGGGCAGCTGCTGTTTGTCATTGTTATTATTGACAAGTGAGAAAACTCAGGTATGATTGGGAGAAAGACAAGCCCGACATTTCTGGCTGCACGGCATCTCCATATGGAGGCCATTTTCATTCAGCAATCAGCCCCAGACAGACCCCAGGGAGTTTGTGCCCATTGGGGCACAGCAAAATAGGCTGATGGAGCCAGTCTTCAAGGACTCAGAGCAGTGGGGAGGATCTCAGAGTCTGGCAGCTGTGGATTACTTCTTAAGTGTCAACTGTGTGTCTGATTCCATAGAAGTCTGGGTCATGCTCCAGCCCAACTTCTCTCCATGCAGGGCAGACTCAGGGTCCTCCCTTAAGCCAGGCTGCCTACTTTGGGGGCTCCCAGGCCCACCCCAAACCCCAAGAAGACACTGAAGCCAGACTCCTATTCTCAATTCAAGATCTCCAGAAGAGAACATCAACTGGGGACAGGTGTGGTGCTGCCTGAGCCTGCACTATCAGCTTTGAGGGTGCGGAGTGGATGGTAAGTGGCTTTGTGTCCTTACCGCTCCCCTAAGCCAGGCTGTAGCTGCCCATGTACACATTCATCCATCTCTACCCCATCCATCTACCTATCTATTCCACCCACCCACCCACTCACCTATTCACTTACCTATGCATTCACCCAGCTATCCACCACCCATTCACTTGTCCAAGGAAAGTCAACAGGATATCTGCTACATACATTCCAGGCCCTGCTGGAAGCACTGCTGGAGTGACAGCCGGGCACAAGCAAAGACCTTGCTCTCCTTGGAAACTATATCCCGCCTTGCAAGGGAAGCAAACACTGAACAGCAACCACCGACTGAGCAGGATCACTCAGAACATTGTGACTGCTGTGACGTGATATGACAGTGACTCCAGGGGCAGGAAACTCAGACAGTCTCTCTGCATCTATGGAAGAGGCATCCAAGCTGAGTCCAGGTGATGCCAGGAGCCATGTGGAGCTGGGAAGATTCAAAGAGCCGGATACACACAGTGCTCAGCATGGTGCTGGTGCCTGGGCAGCATTTTATGAGCACCTGCAGCTGCTGCCTTTATTAGCATCATTAGCATCTGCACTGTTATCATCATCTAGGGGACAGCCTTCCTCTCTGGATCCCTCAACAGCCAACCCCTGCCAACTCTCAGACCCAGAGGGTAAGAAGGGCTGCAGAACTCTCTCTGTCTGTCTGTCTCTCTGTCTGTCCATCTCCCCAAGTCTGTGAGCTCTTGGTTTCTCAACCATCTCAACCTCCCTCTCTGTTCTCAACTGCCAGACATGACTCCCAGAGGCTCCACCTTTGCTCTGCACTCCCTACTTAGAGACCTCATATCCTTCTGAAATGGGGGTGTCCATGGCTCAAATCCTGCATCCACCATGTCCTAGCTATGTGTCCAGGTGACCCAGCTCCAGGTCTGTCAGCCTTAACCATGACTTTAGATTCCTCTTTGCACACTGACAGGTTCACCCCTCCCTGGCTGTGTGACCTTTGGGCAAGATACCAAGCTCCCTGGGCCTCCATCTCCTCAACTATTTCACAGCATCATTGTGCAGAAACTGTTTTTCATGTTTAACAAGTCACACTCACTTAAACTTGATCCTGTGCCTTGAACAACCACAAAAGGCATAAACTACCCAATGCTGCTGAGGAAAGGTGAAATCAAAGGCTTGCAATTCTTAGCAGAGATAAGTTGTCCCATATGTATGTAAATATATATTTTATGTATATTACATTTGATTCATCTAGGAGCCCCTGAGAAGCAGACACAGGGATACAAGTGACTGAGAAAGCCCTCATCCACAGAGCAGCACACTGCAGCCTGGAATAGGCACAGGGCTTGCAAAGGGGCACACAAAGACTTCAAGGTCCCATGAAGCCTGAAGAGAGCAGAGGAGCTGCCAAAGAGCAGCTGGACCAGCCCTACCTCCTGACTCTGCACCCACATGGCAGGCTGCGGCAGTGGCTGCCAGTGCAGCTGGGGGTGCCCAGAGGAGGCAGGAAACACAATGTGGGGAACCAGGAAGGCTTCCTGAAGGGGGGGGACTCATGAGATGAGGATAGGCTAAAGGATGGAGGTCTGCAGGCAGAAAGAGCCACCCAGAAAAGTTTCCAGGACCACGTGGCCCAGAACACCCTCCTGGAGTGAGTAAGCAGCAGTGGAGCTCAGACAGGAAAAGGAAGATGATGCGGAGAGGTCAGCAAAGGGGGGCAGATTGCCTATGCCTGGGCAGGCTCTGCTCAGTGACAGCAGGAGCCAAAAAGGGCCTTGAGCAGAGAGCCACCCTAGCATTCTAGAATAAGCTGGCTTTGGGATAGAGCATGGGTGCAGAGCAAGAGGTGAGGTAGGGAGGCAGTCAGAGGCTTTGGCCTTAATCCAGTAAAGGGTCACAGGTGGGCAGTGGGGGCAAGGCGGGCTTGGGAGCTTCAGGCTGCTTCTGTTTCATGCCACAGGTTCTCTCTGTCAGTTGGTACATCGTGCATTCATTCTCATGTCTCCTAACCGCCCATTGAAATATCACTCTGTGAGGGCAGAGGCTCTGCCTTCTGCTCAAAAACACATCCCAGTGCTGAGGACAGGGCCTGGTGGGTGTGGTGGTGCATGCCTATAATCCAGGACGCTGAGAATCTAAAACAGGAAAATCTCAACTTTGGGCCAAGCCTGGCCCATTTAGTGACTTACCACGACTCTGATTCAAAAATTCAAAAAGGTCTGAGTTCAAAGGACTGGGTGTACAGGTCCTGCATTTAATCTTCAGATCTGAAAAAAAACACAAAGAGGCCCTGGTCAGAGCAGGTGGTCTAGTGAATAATACTTGAGTGACTGAGGGACCAGACTAGGTTACACAGAGGGTGAGGGAGAGAAGGGTCCAAATGTCACCAGGTCTGGGCATGGCCACAGCAGAGTCGTGGAGTTGAGTGTGGAGCAGAAACTGAGGAGGTGCCTGGCTTTGACCTCTGGGGGAGAGGCCTGTGGATTCAGGAGCACAAGCCAAAAAGTGGGGTTGCCAGTTGTTTTCTGTTAATGTGGGGTAACCATCCATAGAGCTAAGGAAAAACCACGGCTAGCAGGAGTGCAGGGAGCAACAAGTGCATACACAAGCTGAAATGGAAGCAAGGGCTGAGGTAAGCAGCCTAAAAAGGCACAAAACTCCAAGGGCAGTAATGTGTGGAAGTACGGAAAATCCTGTGAATGGTGTCCTTGGGCTTCAGTTATGCATGAACTGGGCAGCAACCAGAATAACCAGAGCAGGGCTTTGAATGCATATCTTTTCAGAGTGAGCTTCAGAGAAGCTGCCTAGTCTAGACAAATTCTCCAGCAGTTGTCTGGATGAGCTCTTTTAACTCTGGGGGATCTAAGGCTAATTTTTTTAAACTTTAAGAGCTCTAGAGATAGTTAACACACACCTGGGTTGTATATGTGTTCAGGGATTTCCACAGGTATAGCTGGTCTTTTGGCTAAATTTTATGGAGCTGATTATAAGCTGTTCCTGTAAGATTGTTTTTATTTGTTTAACTCTCTCAGAGCTCTGTAGATGATATGTTTGTCTTAGTTGCTCTTCTCTTGTTGCTGAGACAAAATACTTGGTATCCAAAATTAAGGGAGAAAAGGTTTATTTAGCTCACAGTTTTTGGAGGTTTTAGTCTTCAGTCAGCTGGCCCCAAGAGAGGGTGACATGGCACAGGAGCAACTGTTCAAGGCAGCAGAAGATACAAAAGCAGCAAGAGCAAAAGAGGGAAGAGCAAGCTTTCTTTTTTTTCCCTTATATTGTAAGCAGGCTACCCCTCCCCCAGGCAAGAGTAACATCTGCATCATCTCCTTGCCCTCCTCTTGCAGAGGCTCAGGACTTTTACACAGAGGGCTCTGGTCCCTTGCTGAGCCTTTTAGTTAAACTTCTAAATTTCTTAAGTTGACACAATGAACAACACTCTAGAGTGATATGAGTATGTCCTTTACAACCAAGGATGTAGAACTGCTGAGTTACTTAGTTAAGCTTTTAGACTTCTGAAACTGGCACAATGTATCGACCATAACAATCCACCCCTTGTCCACTTAGCAACCAAACACATTTATTTAAGCCAGTTTTTAGATATAAAGACAAGTTTATTTAAATCATTTTATACCTTGAACATTGTAGCATAGGTTTGACAATTCTTAAAAACCAGTGTTGTAGTCAGAGTTTGTGAAAACAATTTAATATAGGACACATAATTTATAGTATTGTTTTATAATAGTCACCCAAAGAGTCAAACACAAAAAGTGCAAGAAATCTATCCACACACTACAGACCCAAAAAATTCCAACCAAGGGTCTGGATCCCACAGCAACATCCTGAATGAGCCCAATTGAAGACCTAGAGCCCATGACAATGTCTCATGCAAGTCTGTTCCATGGATCTGCATTGGGAAGGCCCAAAAGTGAAAGCCAGAAGTTCTGTACCAGCAAGATAAAGGATCTGTCCCAGTAGGTTGAGGGTTCTGCACTGGAGGCAGGAAGTGATACTCAAAGTAAGGACCAGGGCTCCCCTGAAAAGTACCACAGCCATCCTCAGTGATAAAGAGGTCCTGAGTTCCTCTGATGATAAGAACAGCTGACTTCAGATCAGGGAGCTGGCATGGCAGTTTTTCCTGGAGAGCCAGAAGCAATGCTCAAGTAAGGACCAGAGCTCCCCCAAAGTGAACCACAGCTATTCTCAGTGATAACCAGGTCCCAAACTCCACTATTGATGAGAACACCCAAGTTCTTATCAGGAAAGAAGCTCCACAAGCTCCTCCAGGAAAACCAATGGCACCAGGAGAACCAACAACACCACAGACAACCAACAACACTACTTCCTCTCCAGTTCTCCTTGTTATGTTGGCAACAATCCTCTAGTGGGCCACCCACACTCAGCACCACACTGATTCGGTTCATCTGATTGTTAAGTTGACCATCAGCTGTCAATCCACCACAACAAGTAGTAAGTCTGTCATCATTGTATTATTTTAGAACCAACATTTTATGTCTATCCCACCCAAGACTCTTGCCTTTGTGTATATCCCTTTAGTCTCTTCTCTAACAGTTGCCAAGGATATAGCAGTTTTGGTATTGCTGAAGTCTGTCTCAATTTTTTCAAGATGTAAGACAAACTCTTAGCTTCAAGCCCTTACATAAATAAAAACAAAATTAAACACTTTTTAAAAATTTAATTGCACAAGATAAACATTTTTATTCAAAAAGTTATAAATAGGAGGAAAAAAGGGTCGGGACTAAAGCAAGTCTAAAATCCAGCAAGTCAAACATTAAGTGTTATAGTTTCCTGTGTAGGATTTAAGACAGTCTGTGACAAGTTATCAGTTCTAAAGAGCTTGCATGGCTCTTTTGCTATGGCATTTTTGGTGGTTCTAACTCTCACAGCTTTTATCCTAGACCCACTCTGTTTTTCCTTTGTAGATATTTTTAGATGATCTATATGCTTGGTTTTTTCAACTTTTGGGTTTTTCACAGTATCTTTGACCTTACCTTCACAGTTTTATACATTGCCCTCTCAAGGCTACACTGCCTGGCCCCTAGCCTCCTGAAATTGGAATGGAAGCCTTTTTAACCCCACAACTGTTCTCTGTTGTATGTACCTAAAACCAGCACCATGTGGATGATGTAAAGGTCTGCTGTCAGCTGAAACAGTAACCAGGCTTTTCTGTCTCTTGGCTATAGGGGTCAAGTGCTGGATTTCTGAAGCTAATTTTTGAGAAACAAATTTTTTGTGCTACTACCACTTTGAAACATTGTGCCCTGTGAGTTTTTTAAAGCAAAGTCTTTCACTTTTGCAGTTTTGAGGCTGCAAAGGGTAAAGATTGGCTGCTTTCTGTGATGCCCTCAGGCCATCTTTTTTATATTTCTAGGGGGTTTTGCTGTGTTTTGTTTTGTTTTTTTTAGCTATGGAGATCTCCTCAGCTCTATCTTTGTAATCTATAGCTCTATTGGAGCTTTTTTGTCTGGCCAAACTCACATTTTAAATTGTCCTGCTGTGCTCCTTGTATTTGACTTTTAACATAGATCTGGTTAAAGGCCCCCAACAATAGTCATGCCACAGCCTTACATTTAACTGACTGGAAATTTTTGTCAGATTAATTAGTCCACCATCCTTACTCACAGTCTCAACCAAAGTCTCTGCACATGAACAAAATGTAGACATACAGCATCGGACTCTAACAGTCAAGGTAGTCTTTTTTTTCCCATCAGAAACCTCCTGAACCTGGTCTTACCAGCAGGATTTTTATCAGCCCTCTGGTATTTTGAGCTCTAACCATAATTTTACATACAAAACAGTATTTCAGCACTACTCTTTTAGGCAACGTCTCTGAACCTTTTTAAATGTTTCCCACAAGCCAATCGCAAAGGCTTGAGAACCACATAGTCAAGTATAGTCACAGCCATGACCCCATTCTTGGTACCATATTCTATCTTAGTTACTTTTCTTTCTTTAATTGCTGAAACAAAATACCCAGCATCCAAAATTAAGCATGGAAAGGTGTGTTTAATTCACAGTTTGTAGAGGTTTTAGTCTATAAGCATCTGGCTCCAAGGTAGAGTGGCATGACACAGGGCAACACTTCAAGGCAACAAAAATAGCAAGAGTAAAAGAGGGAAGAGCAAGCTTGTTTTCCTCCCTTATATTGTAATCAGGCTACACACACACACACACACACACACACACACACACACACATACACACACACACACACACACACACACACACACACACACACACACAGCGGGCGTAGTGCTCACATCCTCTCCTTGCCCTCCTCTTTCAGAGGCTCAAAATGTTTACAAAGTGAGAGCCCTGGTCCGCTGCTAAGTCAGCTAAACTTCTAAACTTCTCATATTGAAATAATAAACAACATCCTGGAGTAGTAAAGGTACGTCCTCTACAACCCAGGATGTAGAACTGCTGAGATATTTAGTTCAGCTTTTAGACTTCTCAAGATGACCCAATATATCAACCATAATAATGTCGTACAGCTTTTAGACTCCTCAAGATGACCCGATATATCAACCATAACAATGTCGTATAGCTCTGCCAGTTTCGAGTTATCTCTGCTACAAATGAAGGCCTGCTGTCGCTTCCAGTGGTCAAGGGTAGGCTAGGGGTGATTTTTACAGCAGACTTTGCAAATTTCTGTTGTCTTCTCAGTGTGGGTAGGGAATATCTTGAGCCAGCCTGAGTAGATGCATATAAGCACCAATAGATAATTGTAGTCCTCATAAAGCTTTACTTTAGTGTTTTTAAAGGGTGATGTTTCAGTCAATTAGATCCCCAGAGGGAGCTTTAGACTCTGAACTAGATTGCTTTGACCACAGGTTTGGTATCATTGGCAGACAGTGGAGCAGATGCTGGCCAGGCATTGGATGTCAAGCCTTATTTCTTTGTGACTCAGGATGGTTTATTGTTTGGGCAGGTTTCCAGACAGCAGCAGGAAGTAGTAGGCCCTTTCATTTTCAGGGTTTGTTGTGCAGACCATCCTTATGAGAGAGCTTTAACTAAAACAACTTTGTTCAAGGTCACTACAGTATAGCTTTTTGAACTCTGTGTCTTCTTCTACCTTTGGCCATTGTAAACAGGCTGTACTCAGCATCTATCAGGGAGTTCATTTTAAGTCTGGTTGGATCAAAAACAATTCATCAGTTAGTGTCAGGCAGTCATAGTCTGGTGGGCTCAGGTTTGTGGGCAGGTCATAAGAGTCCTTGGTACTGAATGACTTGGCTATTGAAGCCACTGTTATTCAGGAGATCCTGTTTGGCATGTGGCACCTAGACATTCTCAATCTAAGATGAGCTTCTCAGGTTTTTTTAAAGGAAAATGGTAGCATTAGAACACAGAGGCATAGGGGGTAGCCCTTAGTGATTAGATCCAAGTAGTTGTACAGGTATATCCCAGGGTATGACATCTGAGCAAGTATCTTTGAAGCCACATGTCATCATTTATCAGCAAATAAGTTGAATTCTAGTTACATCTGGAATTTCCAAGATTGGGGCTGTAGAGAGGGCCTTTTATTTTTTGTTTGCAGATTTGTATCTTTTCCCAGGATATCCTGTAGCAAGTTTCTGCTGGATATTGCAGCAGAGTTTCTGTGTCTTTCTAGAAGGCAACTGGGGTGTCATTAATCAAAAGTGAAGTGATATTTTTTACTGGGAAACTAGCAAGGTAAACAAGTTTTTGAACCTCTGGGAAGTTGAGCTCAGGTCAGTCAACCTTTGAGTTCAGAATTTGAGTCTTCTCACTTAAAGGTGAAAAGGCACTGGCAGGAGCCAACCGAAGGTAAAAGAAGGCATTCATTAGGTCCAGGAAGGTGTATCAGTAGGCTGTAGGAGGCAGAAGACCGAGAAAAGTATACACGTTTGAGATTGCAGGATGGAGAGCAAACACAGTGACACTGATAGCTCAGAAAGCCTGAAACTTACAAATCCTAAAAGCTCAAAAAGCCTGAACTTTTCAGGCAGGAGAGATGCATTTCAGCAATTTGACAGTCTATGAGCATCCCATGATTCTGACACTTCTGAATATGTGGTTGAATTCCTAGTCAAGTGTGTCATGGCATGGGATACTGTTTGCTTGGGAGACCATGATGAAGCTGAAAGAAACAGAGAAGCATACATCTCACAGTAGCCAAATCTGTTCCCAGAACCTCCCCAAAAATAGTGGAAGAGTTCCCAAACTCTTGTGGCAAATGAGTCCAAGTAAGCTGGCCCTTTTGATCCTTCCTCAGGATCTGTCCAGTGAAAGGCAAAGGGACTGGCTTATGGGAGTAACCCGCAAGCAGAGCCATCTTTTAAATCTAGACATGTGAACTAGGTGGCATCTGGAGTCCAAGAAGGGTGTATGGGTTGGGAAACACAGAGCGCAAGGTGGTGGCTATGTTGTTGATTTTGCACTGACCACCTTGAGCTTCTTCACAAAGCTTCTTCACAAAGAGGAGATTATTCCAATGGGGTTGACAGTCTATCAGGATCCAAAACTGCTTTAGGCAGTTGATGTGTGGCTGGATCTCTGTTTGTACTTTCCATAACATTCACTATGGCAGCATGGTTGATGGCCAGGCCCAGAGGTAAAACTTTGGCCCCTGTCTCTGAGAGGAGAGTTTTCAGAATTTCAGGATTGTGATTATCTGTCTTAGGCTGATGCAGGTATCATTCTTCCTCTTGAGGAACAGTTAGGAAAGCACAGGGTTAAATGAGGGAGGCTGACTGATTTTGTAACAGGAATTCATGTTTGCTGAAATATCTTCCCATGCATAAGTTTGTCCCTGGCAGAAGGGACAAGAATCGAGAGTCCCAGTTGCTCTGGTGATGGTAATCTTTTTTGTACAGAGGGGACCTTAAACAATTACAAAGTTCTGTCCCATTGTGTATGATGAAAGTCATAAATTGCCCCCAAATACAGACATGGACTGTGTGCTCCTAAGGGCCCAACAGAAGAAGGGAACCAAGTCTGGCCTATCTGAATCTGTCAAACTACCAAAAGGGATGTTGTTTAACATAGGCTGAAACTTTTGAGAGTCCTTATCCTTTAATCTGAAGGGGCATTTATTTTTCAGAGTCCACAGTATTTATAACTCACATAAGGGCTTCATCAGGCTTCTGGGAAACAGTGATAACTTTTGACATATTTTTGGACTTTTTTGCTCTCTCTTTGATGACTTTGAGAAGCACTTTACTGGGTTACTTTGTTTCTTTTTGCTGGTTGAAGAGCTGGCCCAGTGAGAGCTTCAGTGGCATCTTCCAAGGTAGAATTCTCAGGTCTTGTTCAGGCTCAGGGAGCAGCAGTTTGATTTTATTTTAAGCCTGTAAACACCAGAAAAGTTCTTTTTAAAATTCTTGGGCTTCAATCAAAGTCTGTGGATTTTGACTAATTAGATCCCATTTCTGACTCCCTACATGTGTGTTAGGTATCTTTGAATGATGGCACAACAGATAAAAGGTGGGTGCCCCTCAAAGAGAGAGGCCATTCAGATGCCTGCCTGGTCATTTGCCTCATGGCAACATTGGGACCCTTTGCACTATGGAGAAGTGTGGGTAGTTTCTCCATTTTGCCTTATCATATGTGTCTATAGAACAACAGGTTGGGGCCCAATCAAGCTCTGTAGTTTGGAGAATTCCTCCTCCTCAATGTGGAGCACTGAAGGAATGATCCTTTGCTTTCACCACCCATTACAAAAACTTATGCAATCATTCAACAGGCACTCAGAGGTTAAAGTGTTCCCTTCCCCAAACCACAGGGAGGCCTAACTAACAAGAGGAGATCAAGCTCTCCTTCTTGAACTGAGCAGGCACAGATTAAAGCTGGTGCCAGAGGTCTCACTGGAACCTGGCAGGCAGGTAGGTAAGCAGACCATGTACTCTTCTCTTTTGGTTCTAATGTGAGCTGCTTGAACAGGGAGCTAAGAATCTTCCTCTAGACCTTCAAAGGGACTTGTGAAATCTTGAAGGTGTACCTTCCCATCAGGACCTGGAGAGGTCCCTGCTCCATCTGCAAGGACCACAACCAGTGACCAAAGAGGTCAGCATGGTCAGTTTTCCCAGCCACTATGCAAGATGCAATGGTAAACAGAAACTGAAATGCCACGTAGGATTTGAAGGCAGATTTACTTAACATTGACAAGCACTGACAAGGAATAAATCTTCATAAAAATGTCAGGCCTTGAAGGCTCAGGGATGGAGGGGTTTTTTTAATTTTTTTAAAATTTTATTTAAAGAAAGACTAAACAAAACAGAAAATGGGTAGAAATAATACATTCAGAGAAAAAATAAACAGTAAGAAATCACTAATGTTTACATACTATCCTTTTACAAATAATTGTTCAAGGTACAAAAGTGGAACATATAAAGTGGGAATTCAAACAGCGAGACTGCAAACAGTTCTGTTCAACTATCCAGCAAAAACTTAGTAATATGGTTGTCAATCATATACACTTAGACATACATGCAGTTATCCATATCTTCATTTATGCTGAGATCAAACAAACTAAAGCAGGCTAAAATCATTCTGAACAAAGAATAATAGTATTGCTGGATTTCACATCATGACACTACGGAATCAGCTGGGTACTGTAGTGTCTTTTTTATTTTATTTAAAGACTAAACAAAACAGAAAATGGGTAGAAATAATTCATACTTTCAAAGAAAAAAATAAACAGTAAGAAACAACTAGTTGATGATTACAGATTGTCCTCTTACAAATAGTTATTCAAGATACTAAAGTGAAACATATAAAGTGGGGATTCAAACAGTGAGACTGCAACCAGTTCTGTTCAACTATCCAACAAAAACTTAGAAATATGATTATGAGTCCTATACACTTAAACATACATGAAGTTATCCGTATCTTCAATTATGTTGAGACTGAACAAACCCAAGCAGTCTAATATCACTCTGAACAAAGAATAATACTATTGCTGGGTGTCACATTATGACAAGGGAGGGAGGTTTTTATGGAGTTTGCAAACAAGAAGCAGAGTATTTATCAGTTTTTGATTGGTTCTTACAATGTACATCATAGTAACCATCATAATGATGGGCTGTTTCTGAGACACATAAGTAACAGACACACAAGTAACAGAAAATGTAACAGAAATTTAAGTAAACTGGAGGTTACCTGGGCAACTAACAGAAACTGAAGTATACTGGTGAGGGTGGGGGGCATTTTCTGCTACAGTGAGACAGAGATAGCAACACCTAACAGGCACTGAGCATTTGCTATGTGTCAGTTGCTGAACAGAGTACTTTAAAGTACAAAGATGCATTTAATCCTACAACAACCCTTCTCCATGGATAGGGTCTGTGTTCACTCATGACTTTCAATACTTTCAGAAAATTAAGTTACAGAAATCACTAATGAATAGATTTTGGAGCTAGAATTTCATCCTAGACCTTTTTTTTCAGTAGTATGGATTGATCTCTTCAAGGCCTTTACACTGATCTATATACACAATCTTTTTTATAGTTTTTTTTTTTTTGTATTTTGTTGTTTTGTTTTGTTTTGCTTTGTTTTTGTGAGACAGGATCTCATCAAGTCACTAAGTTGCCCATTCTGGGCTTGAACTTGCAATCCCCTTGTCTCAATCCAAGAGTGCTGGGATAATAAGCTTGCACCACCACTCCTGGCTTGATCCTGGATTGCAAAATCATTGCTCTCCTTCTGCCTCTTTGGTAATCACATGGATGCAACTTTAGCGATAGCTGTCACCATCACAGTGACTGGGTCAGTTCCAGCAAGGATGACTCTGTGCAGGTCTCCAGTGAAGGAGACTTGGTGACACTGGACCTGCCATCACTAGTGTGATGTGTCCCTGTCTTCCAACACCTGTCACTAAACCCTGCTCCAAGCAGGGGAGGAGTCTTCACTCACCCTGGGTGCTCTACTGGGTCAAGGTGCCTGGTGAGCAAGTGGGTAGATGCTACCCCTTGTGCAGAAAGAATTGTCGCTTGCAGAAGTGGATGCAGCAGTCCTAGCTGGAGCAGCTGTCGTGTGCATTGTGCATGTGCGTGCTGCCTTCTGCAACAGAGCAAGAATGCGGCCTGGTGAGGGACCTTGCCCAGGAGGGGCCCTGGGTCTGCCTGAGGTAGGGTTCTGGGCTGCCACAGGCTCTGTATGAGGGTTTGGGTGCAGAACCTCCTCTGAATTGCAGACTTAATCAAGGTCAAAGTGAGCTCCATGTAGGAAATCTTTTCTCATTTTAGCTGTGCTCAGAAAGGGCAAGTGAGTAGCTTTAAAGCACACAGCAAATCTGGACTAGAGGTGTGGCTCCCCTGGCTGTTTTCCCAGTAAGGCTCAGACATGATAATGGCTTGTCCCGGGTCACAGCAAAAATAGGAGTTAGACACTCTGCTGAGCTGGGTCCAGAGAAGATGTGTAACATGCCTGAGGCCACAGAGCAAGCTGGAAGTCAAGGTTCCCTGCTGTTAGTGCTGATGAAGGCACAGAGGAAACTGACTGCCAGTCTGGAGCTGAGCTAGTATCAAGTCCGGGCCCAAGTGTCTTCCTGCCTCCCCTCAACAGGACAGGGGTAGAGGCCACCTACTGCACCTGTTGACCTCCTGGCCATGGATGCTGAAGCTGAGAAGACAGTCACACACACACTTGCCACACTGGCAGATCCCCTCACAGTGAATGAGCAGGATGAGCCTCTACTGGCAGATGGAGCAAGCATTCTCCTCTGAGCAGATGATGCAGCCTGTGCAGTTGCCCCCCAGGCCAAGGCACACTACCTGCCAAACTGAGAAGAGCGGGAGAGAGCATCAACACACGTGAGCTGCCCAGACTGTCTCACTGTGCTATTACCTGGGCACACTGGTACCCAAACAAGACTACATTTCCCAGCTTCCCTTGCACCTAGATGCAGGCATGCAACCATGACAGTCATGCCCTTTGTCACCCCTTGTCTTTCCTACTAGGTGGAATGTGTGTGTGATGGTTGGAGCAGTCATTCGGACTATAAGGTGGAAACCAGGCCAGAGGATGATGGAAAAAATAAAGTCAAAGGAGTTTGGGTCCCTGAAGAAAGCTGGACTGCAGTACCAGCTCTAGACTGCACCTGTAGATCATTAGGATGAGAAAGAAATCAATGTCTCTTTTGCTTAAACCACTGTTATTTGGAATTTTCTCTTATTCACAGGCATACTTAATATCTACTAATGATTCATGTATAAAGTGTGATTAAAAATACAGAATGCTTAAATTTTCTTTAAAACACACTCTATCATTAGTCCCCTTCTAAATACTCCGCTCTCTTTGAGCACGCTTACCCTGTCATTCTTGCCACCTTCTGAAGCATTTTTGAAAGTCCTTTTCATAAGTATGTTTAGTTGCAGTGTTGGGACTGCCTTGATATTCTGAGTTGATTCAAAGTGTTTGCCTTTCATGTTCATTTTGACTCTGGGAAAGAGCTAGGAGTGATACAATGCCAAATCCAGTGAAGAAAGTAGATTAAGGCACATAGTGATGTTTTTACAAGCCTCCCTTTAATGCTATTGGCAACAATCCTCAGGCAGGTCTTCTACTCAAGAACTACATTGATTCAGCTCAGTTGGGCGTTATGCATTGATTCTTAGTTAATCCACCACAGAGACTATAATTGGACCAAAACTCAGCAAACCAAGCATTAAATCCTGTGCTTCCATGCCCGGCCTCCAGGGTGAGCTATTGCTTGATGTGCAATCCAAATGGCTTGGATGGCTCCACCCGTGTAGCACTGCTGGTGCCGGCAGCCTCTACAGCTTCTCTCTTGGCCTGGATTTGCTCAGTCCTAGCAACTCTTCTCAGATGAGCCTCATTCCTGGCTTCTTGAGCTTTCTGGGGTCTCCACAATACTTCTGGATCCACTCTCACAGCTTCACACCTTGCCCTCTCAGGGGCACCTTGCTGGCCTCCTGGACCCTCTTCTGAAAGCTCGGTAAGGCTCCCTGACTCTCCAACTCTTGAATGTCACATGTCTGTAAAACCAGCGTCAAGTGAATGACACCAAGGGCTGCCACTTGCTCAGCCCAGGGCTCCTTGAATCACAGCCTCAAAGGTCTTTAAGTGCCTGGATGGCTGAGCTCTGTGAAAGGAATCCCAGGAAGCCAATTCAAATTGGCCTCTCTCATCAGAGTGCCCTGGGGCTTTCTTTCAAAGCAAAGTCTTTCACTTTTGCACTGCCCAGTCTGAGAAGGTCAGGCTTTCAGATTCCTCTCACACCCTCAAGGTATCGTTTCTAGCGGCCAATACAAAGTGCTTGGCTTCTTTTTAATGCGTCTTTTAGCAACCAAACTTTCCTCTGCTCCATCTTCGCAGGCCCCAATTTTACTGTTGCTTCCTTTCTGACTGAGCTAAAAACCTTTCAAATCATTCAGCTGTACCCTTTGCTCTTGATTTTCAGTATAAATCTGGCCAGGAATCTCCAGCAGTACCCACATCACAGCCTGAAATTTGGTCTACCTTGAAATTTCTTCCACCAGATTGAAAAATCCATCATTCTTCATCTGTCTCCTGCAAGACCTAAGACCTAAGTAAAATGTACAGAGGTTTTCTCCCAGAGCATAACACACATGACCTGGAATCCAACCTTCAGTGGAGTCCATCTTCCCAACTGAAAACTCTTAAGTCTGGTCTATTCTGGCTATATTACTATCAGCATTGAGGTTCTCCAAGCTCTGACCAGAATGTTCCATTAAGCTTGACTGATAGCATTCTGTGGCTGCTTCTTCCAACCAGCATCCAAATTCCTCCTGAAAACCAATTGCAAAATATTTTTTTAATTTTATGAAAAAAATAGAACAATATTTTTCATAACAAATAATAGGAGACTAACAATAGTTGATACATTGCATATTGTTATCTTTAAAGTAGTTACTCGAAGTATAAATTAAAGGCATAAAAATTCTCCAATCAGGTGGCCACGGAGAATGGGAAGAGGATCAAGTAGCCAAACCATGCCTTTCTGTGATCTAGCCAGTGCGTGGGCTGGGAGACAAGAAGAGCAAGCTCCCACCTCCTGTAAGCAACTGCCTGATTCACAGGAACCTGGATGATAGCAACTGAATTAAATAATAATAATAACAACAATAATTTAGTGCTTGTATTGTTTGATTGACTTTGCAGGCCTAAAGCTGGTAGTCTGAGCATCTATTTGGAAGATAACAGTATGCATTATAGCATCTGTGGGGGATTTCCTGCTATCATATTTTTGATTACAATGTTTTGTTCCATTCTAATGTTTTGTTTTATTCCTGTGTCTGGTAATCTGAGCAACTATTTTGAAGATAACAATATGCAGTAAAGCAACCGTTGTTAAATTCCTATCATCTGGTTTTGGATCTCTATATAGCTATTGATGGTTTTTGTTGTTGTTGTTGTCATTTTGCTTTTGTTGTTGTTGTTGCTTTGTTCGCTTCTTGATTTTTCTGTTTTTTCTTTTTTCTCTTTAAAATAAAATATTCTCCAGTCAATATTAGCACACGCCTTCCTTTTCAATGAACTAAGAGACACTAGTAGCATAACTAATTTGAATTTTTTTCCTTTTTCCCTTCCTTCCTTTCCCCTTTCCCTCATTCTAGTTTCTTTTCCCTTTTGAGCAACTGTTTCCCATTTAACAAAACCTATTGTATATTTTAGACCTTGTTTACTCTTTCAGTTTCTCCTACCAGGGAGACAACACAATATTGATGGGCATCTGGGTTGTTTCAAAGATTTAGTTATTACGAACCGCGCTGCTATAAACACGGGTGCACATATCTTGCTATGGTATAATGTGGTTTTTTTTTTTTTTTTTTTTTTTTTGGTCTTTTTCGTTTTTATCGGTACCAGGGATCGAACTCACGACAGCCTGCTTGCAAGGCAGGCGCTTATGCCGCTGAGCTAAATCCCCAGCCCCGGTATAATGTTTTTAATTCTTCCAGGAAGACTCAGAACAGGAATTGTTATATTGAATGGGACCTCTAATTCTAGGGGTTTTTTTAGGAATCTCCATACTGATTTCCACAGTGTTGGCACCAGTCTGCACTCCCACCAACCGTGGAGAAGGGTCCCTTTTTCCCCTACAACTGCACCAGCATTTAGTATCAATTTCTTGATAATAGCCACTCTTTCTGGAGTGAGATCAAATCTCAGTGTTGTTTTAATTTGCATCCCTTGAATGACCAATGATGTTGAATATTGTTTGTGTATTTGTTTGTTTGCTTGTTTGTTTGGGGAGGTTTTTTTATGTTGTTTGGTACCGGGGATTGAACTCACAACCTTGAGTTTGCCAAGCAGGGTCTCATGCCACTGAGCTAAACCCCACCCCACCCCTTTTTGTATATTTAGTTTCCATTTGTACTTCTTCATCTGCAACTTGTGTATTCATCTCAGATGCCCATTTTTGGATTGGATCTTTGAATTTGGGGAGCTCAATTTTTTTCAGTTCTTTATATGTTCTAGATAGAAGTCTTTTGTCTGAGGGACAAGTGGTTAAAATGTTTTCCCATTCTATAGGTTATCTTTTCACTTTGTTGGTGAATTCTTTTGATGTGCAAGAGATTTTTAATAAGAAGAGATCCCAATTGTTGATTCTTTGGAGAATTTCGCATTCAGTGTGTGCTTCGTTCATGAACTCTTTATCTACACCTATGTCTTCAAGATTTCTACCTGCTTTCTCTTCCAGTAGGTTTAGTGTTTCAGTTTTAATATTTATATATTTGCTCCACTTTGATTTTAGTTTAATGCATGGTGATAGATATGATTCTAGTTTTAGTCTTCAGCATGTGGTAAGCCAGTTTTTCCAGCATCACTTATTAAGGAGGCTTTCTTCCAGTGAACATGTTTGGCTTCTTTGTCAAAGATAAGGTGTCTGTTCCTCTAATCTGTTCCACTGATCCTCAGGTCTGTTTGTCTTTTTTCTTATTGTTGTTTGTTTAGTTGGTTGGTTTTTGCCAATATCATGCTAATTTTATCTCACTACTTTTTTTTTTTAATCGGTACTGGGAATTGAACTCACGACTGTGTGCGCTTGCAAAGCAGGTGCTTATGCCGCTGAGCTAAATTCCCAGCCCTCTCACTACTTTATAGCACAATTTCAAGTCAAGGATTGTGGTGCATCCTGCCTTGCCTTTGTTGCCCAGAATTATTTTTGCTATTGTAGGTCTCTTCTGGTTCCAAATGAATTTTAGGGATGTTTAAGAATGTTAGGAATGGGGGCTGGGGATTTAGCTCAGCGGCATAAGCGCCTGCCTTGCAAGCAGGCAGTCCTGAGTTAGATCCCTGGTACCGATAAAAACGAAAAAGACCAAAAAAAAAAAAGAATGTTAGGAATGTTTAGGAATGTTAGGAATATTTCAGAACATTAGGAATGTTAGGAATGTTTTTTTTTTTTCTAGGTTTGTGAGTATTGGTTATTGGTATTTTGAGCAGAATTGTATTCAATCTGTGTAACAATTTTGGGAGTAAGGTCATTTTCACTATATTGGTTCTTCCTATCGATGAGCAAGAGATATCTTTCCATTTTCTGATATCCTCTTCACTGTCCTTTTTCAGCAAACTAATTTTCAATGTAAAGACCTTTTACTTCCTTCGTTAGATTGATTCCTAAGTATTTCCTTTTTTTTGATGCTATTGTGAAGGATGTGGTTTCTCTAATTTCTCTCTCACTGAGTTGTTGTGTTCATTAATGCTATTGATTTTTGAGTGTTGACTTTGTATCCAACTACACTACTGAATTTTTTTTTTTTTTCTTTTTCCTTTTTATCGGTACCGGGGATCGAACCCACGATTGCCTGCTTGCAAGGCAGGCGCTTATGCCACTGAGCTAAATCCCCAGCCCCTACACTACTGAATTTGATTGTTAAATCTCTAAGTCTTTAAAAAAAAAAAACTCTAAATCTTTTGGTGGAGTTTTGGGGGTCTTCTATGAAGATTAACATATTTTCTGCAAATAATGATAATTTAACTTCTTCCTGTCCTACCCTTAATCGTTTTATTTCTGTCTTGTCTTATTTCTCTGGCTGTTTCCAGAACTATAGTGAATAGGAGTGGTGACAATAGACATCCTTGTGTTGTTCCTGATTTTAGAGTGAAATCTTTCAGGTTTTGTCCATGTAGTATGATGTTGACTGTTGGTTTGTAAATCTTTATCAGATTTAGATAAAGAACTTCTATTCCAATTCTCTGTAGGGCTTTTATCATGAACTGGTGTTGCTCTTTCTGTATCTATTGAAATGATCATGGTGATTTTTTTTGTTTTTGGCTCTGTTAAGATCATGTATTACATTTATTGGTTTGCATATGTTAAGCCATTGCTTTAACCCTGGAATGAATCCTACTTAGTATATAATCTTCTTGATGATTTGCTGCATTCTATTTGCCAGTACGTTATTGAGTATTTTTGCATCTAGTTTCATTAGGGAGATTGGCCTGCAGGTTTCGTTTTGGGTTAGGTCTTTCCTGGTTTTGGTAACAGGCTAACGCTTGTTTCCAGGGATGATTTTGAAAGTACTGCTTCCCTTTCAGTTTCACTTCATAAAGAGTTTCAACATTAGAGGCACCAGTTCTTCTCTAAATTTTTTGTAGAATTCAACAGTGAACCCATCAGACCTGGGCTTTTCTTTGTTGATAAGCTTTTAATTATTTTTTCAGTTTTATTAACTGATATCAGGTTATTTAGAATTTGTATATCTTCCTAATTCACTTTTAGCAATTCTTATGTGTTAAGGAATCTGCTCATTTCTTGTTTCCCATCTTATTTGTGTACAGGTTCTCAAAGTAAGTATTCAAGGTCTGGAAAATCTTCTGAACCACATAGTCAGGTAGCATCACAGCAACCACCCCACTTCTATGGTACCAAAATCTGTCTTAGTCACTCTTCTCATCACTGAAATACAACACATGACACAACAAATGTCACTGAATGCAGAGTTGGGAAGCATGAACATGATCAGCTCTCCTGAGGTGGTTCCCTCCTCCGTGGGGTAGACTGACCCCACAGAGGGCTGAAAGGAGCGAGCAGGGGGCCTCTGTGCACACTCAAGAGTTTGCTGGGCCTCCCTCCAGCAGGTTAGGTGCATGTCCCCATCTCAGGGGTCTAGGCTGAGGCTCAGGGGACCTCCTGTGTTTGCTCAGCATCTCAGCATCCTGAGCACACACCTGGCTGGAATGAACAGAACTGTACAGGCAAAGGTGACCCAGACCAGTTCCAGTCTGCCTGACCCAGCTGTGGGCTGACCACAGACACACAGATGAGAGCACAAGGCCGAGGGGAGCCTCTGTTCGGGGGGACAACACAAACGTTAAGAGCATGGATTCTGGTCCTGGATTCCCTGGCCTCAATCCCAAACTCTACCACTCCCTGCCTGTGTGGGCTTGGGCTAGTTATTTAACCTCTTAGTGCCTCTGTTTACTCAGCTGTAGGAGGGGACATATTATTTCAGGGTATAGCTAGGATTATGTGAATTAATGCAAGTATGAACTCAGAACAGAGCCTGGCACATAATAAATGCTCAGTAACAGATAAGCACTTTACTGTGTAACTGCAAGAAGGAAAGAGGGGTAAGGCAGGAGGAGGAGCCCAGTGTGGGGAATTCCACCTGGACAGGAGCCCCTTGGGAGGAAGGCTGTGGGCTGTGGCCCCTGTTCAGAAGCCGCAAACTCTGTGGAGATGGGAATCTAACATTACAGTGTGCAAAAACAAGAATCACGCCATATTCTGCCCGTTTCAGCCCTGTGTGTTCGTAACTGCATATAACTATATTCAGAAAAATGCCCAAATAGCACTTGAAAGGTGACTTAAAGAATTTTTTAGGAATCTTGAAATTTTGTTTAGTTTCATAGTTTCCTCCTCACATTGGAGCCTAACGCCCCCCTACGAACTGCTCCCCACGATGACTACTGCGTACTGTATCTCAATCGGCAAGCGCTGGAATCTACAGGCGAGAGTCTCCCCAGGTTGTTCGGAGCGTGGGTGGGGGTGGGGAGGCGGCGAGCCAGACCCCAGCCTCGGGACTCCGAGTCTTTCTTCTGCCAGGAGGACAACCCGACCCCCGTCCAAGGATGCAGGGTGTCCTCCTTGTGGCAGTGGCTCCGCGGGGCAGAGCAGGACGCGGTCCCCGGAGCTGCGGCAGAACCAGGAGTCCGCACCCCGGAGGATGTGTGCAGTGGAGGTGAAAGGAAAGTGTGCAGTTTCTTGCCAGCTTCGCAGATGTTCCGAGTGACCTCCGCGGCCTCGCTCTCCTTCTGTGCCAAGCAGAGGGAACGACACCTGGCTCGGTGTGTGCAAGTGCAAGCAACCTGTGCGCAGCGGAGTCCAAGGACGTTCTTTCCTCTGCCCTGGCGCGGTTTGGGCGGCGCTGGGTGCAATGTACGTTTGGAACAGCAGGTGGCGCTGCAGCACAAGGAGCAAGAAAGGGGAAGAACTGGGTTGCGGGGAGGGTAGGTCCGCTGGGGTCCTGCAGGCGGGACATGGGCCTTCAGAACGGAAGAGGGGTCCAGGGTTTGGCTGTGTCCCGCACATGGTCATTCCCAGAGGCTTACGGAGACGCACAACCAAGCCCGGCACTGTGCCAGAAGCGCCTTTCATGCAGGCTGAACCCTCACAGTTGCACTGCGAATGGTGCCACCCCCAGGTAATTTTTGCACAGGCTCATACTATCCTAAGCCCTTCTGCACCCACTATTCCGTTCAGCCTCCCGACAACCCGGAAGGAAGTATGAGGATGCGTACTTTTAAGAGCCAAGGAAGAAATGGAGGCACTGAGAGGGTAACTGATTTGCCCAAAGCCACACAGCCAGAGCAGGAGAGCTGGCTTTTTACGGCAAAGTTTTGCTCTGAACCACAGCTGTGCCCTGGTTAGTGGTACAGGCACGCGGGTGTGTGTGTGGACAAGTCCCCTGTCACCCCCACCATTCACACCCCAGCCCCATACACACCCTATGCCACCTTCTCTGACCACTTGAGAAGCTACGCCTTTGGAGGGTCTCCTATTGAAAGGAGACCCCCTGGCTGGTCACTCCTGTTTCCCAAGGGAGCGTCCTCCCTGAAGCTCTCAGAGGTCATAGGGAACCTCATCCATTGCAGTGTCACTGTGTGGGGCAGGGTCTGGGCCACTAGGGTAGCAGGGACAAAGCAAGGAGACCAGGGGGAGGCCATGGTGAGAACCCAGGTGGCAAGGATCCAGGTGAATGAATACGGTGGTAGCTAGGGAACACCAGTGCCCTTGGAGGTGGCAAGAGGGATTCAGAGTCCCCATATGTTTTAACGGAGGAGCTAATGGGATTTAATGAATTTTGTGTGTGAGTGTGAGAGAAATTGTTCTCATATGTAATAAATTCCAATGCAAATTATTATGTCTTAAGCTATTAGTTATCAAATGTGGTGTAACAGATTAACCCAACCCTAATGGCTTAAGACTATAGTAAGCATTTGTATCACAAAGCCTTTCCGTGATCAGGGAAGTCTCCATGAGGCTGTGGTCACCAGCAGTCTTGATGCAGCTAGAGGGCCTACTGCAAGGTCACTGTGCACATGGTGCTGGCTAATACCAAAGCTTGAGTGTCCTCATGATGTGGCACTTGTCTCCCCCATAGCCAGTGATCAAGAGAGCAGACAAGACACAAATCTAGTTGCTTTTCCTGACCTCACCTCAGAAGTGACATTCTGTCATTTCTGCAGTGTCTGTAAGGCACCCTGTTCAGTGTGGAGGTCAGGGTCATGTGACCTGCAGGAGGGGCAGATTGGAGCTAGCTGCCACAGAAGGAGAAAATTGTTTTTATTCTGATAAAATGTGCATAAGTAAAATATACCACTTTGTTTTTTAATTGTACAGCTCGATGACATTAAGCCGATTCACACTGTTGTACAACCATTATCACCTTCCAGGTCTAGAATTTATCCATGTTTCCAAACTGAAACTGAGTACCTGTTAAATCCCAGTACCAGTCTCTTTGGCCCCTGGGAACCACATTCTACCTTTTGCCCTGAATGTGACATTTCTCAGTCCCTTTTTAAAGTGTTCTTTTGCAGGATTTCTTTTTGTGATAGGCTTGTTTCCCTTCACCAGATATCCTCAGGGCTCACCCATGTTGTACCTCCTTTTAGGGCTGAGTGAAGTTCCATTGCATGTACACACCACACTGGGCTTCTCCATTCACCAGTGCACAGACGCTTGGGCCGCTTCCACCTTTTGGCTGTGGTAACTAACACTGCTATGAATGTGGCCATACCAGAGATCTGTTCAAATCTCTGTTCCTAGTTCCTTGGGGTGCCTACCCAGTAGTGGGACTGCTAGATCACATGGTGATTCTAGATTTAATTCTTTGAGGACGATGTCACATGATTTTCACAGCAGCTGCCTATGCTATGTCCCCACTCACAATTCACGAGGGGTCTGTTTTCTCCACCGTCTCACCAGGGCTGTGCTCCTCGTTTTGAGAACAGTATCCCAAAGGATGAGAAATGGCATCTCATTGCTGGGACTTTTCCTAGTGATTAGTGAAGCTGAGCTCCTGTCTGTGAGCTGGTTGGCCTTTTTGATATCTTCTTCAGAGAGAGGTCTATGTGGTTCCTTTGCTCATTTTCCCCTTGAATTGCTTCTTTTGTTGACACTGTTTCCTCTCTTTACAATTGAATGCCCTTCGAGCTGAGCCTGATCACTCATTTTGGCTCTGCCTTCTCTTCTTTTCCTCAGTCCATGCCAACCCCATGTACTGGGGACACCACTGACAGCAAAGTCTACAGATCGCTACCCATTGACCTCCTCACTCTTTGATGATCTAAGGTGATGTCAGGCTGTGGTGCAACGGCAAGCAAAAACCCTGAAATGACACCTAGGATTTGGAGGCAGCTTTATTTTACATCAGATGGGCACTGACTAGGAATCAATTGTTCCTCAAGAAGTCAGGCCCTGATTTCCAGTAGTCTAGGGGTTATGTAGGATAAGCAAACAGGAAGTTCAGAAGCAGAATGGCTTGTCCCTTGGAGATTGGTTCTTAAAATATGTTTCAAAGTGACTAGCTGTTTCTAGGAGACAGAAGCAACTGGAACTACAACAGGAACTGTTACCTGGGCAACGAAGAAACTGAAGTATACTGGCTGGGCGGGGGGCATTTTCTGTTACAGTGGCAGAATGGAGCTTATATCAGGAAGTACTGAGAGGGGTGGGCCTCAGTTCTATCAAGCCCTGAGCCTTGTAGCTTAATAACACATTCTCAAGGTCTTCCTGCATGACACCATTGGGAGAGGTAATACTTCTCTCAGTGCACACTTCTCTCAAAGACCTCACAGCTCTGACCCCTGGAGCCTGTGTCCCATCCGGCAGCCATCGTAGGACAAAGGCCCTGCCCCACCTGCCTGAAGAGTTGGCTGCTGATGACTTGGGTTTGGGGGCTGAGGCCTCCTTTGTGAGGCTACTTACACTCCACAGGCAGCAAGACAGGCACAGTATCCAGTTCCTACTTTGATGAGTCTGACGAGCTACCCAGCTCCAGATCCCTGAGGAACTGCCAAGGCCTCCATGACAACCGCCATAGCCTGAGTCCCTCATTCCCCAAAGGTCCTACAAGCACTGCCTGGAACCACATGCAGAAGATCCACATCTCAGGGTCTCATCCCCTGGACCTGGCAGGGCAAGCACTCACCAGCCTTCAGTTTCCCACACCTGGTTGTGTCCTGGCCTCCTCCACAGTGGTGGCAATAGGGGGCTGTGTTTAGGCACTATTAGGTGACATCCCATGGTAAACTGAAAATATCTGATCACAACTGCTTGAGATCCACATAACCCACCAAAAGTCATAGCCTCCCTAGCCTACCTGCAATTACCCTGAACACTCATGTGAGCCTGCAGTTGCCAAAAGCAAACACAAAACCTATTTATTTGTTTTTGGCAAAGTCTTGCTATGTAGTTCAGGCTGATCTTGAACTCGCTTTGTAGCCCAGAATGACTTTGAACTCTCAGCAATCCTCAGCCTTCCAAGGGCTAGAATTACAGTTATGCATCATCATGCTCAGCTTAAGGCCTGTCTTACAATGAACCACTAAGTAGCTCCCATAACTTACTGAGTACTGCAGTGAAAGTGAAAAACAGAATGTCATATGTAAAACTAAAAAGTCATAATCCATACCATCATAAGTCAGATGTGTGCATGGGTATATATTTAATCCTCACAGTAATGCTATGATCACTACATGCTTATTAGAATGGCTAATCCCTTTTTAAATTGACAATACTAAGTACAGGAGACAATGGAAAACAGCACAGTTACATTGAAGGACGGCTTGTTAGTTTATAAAATGACAAATACACTTACAGTGGGACCTGATAATTCTTCCAGGTGTCAGCTCTAGAGAAATGACAGCATGTGCCCACTCCAAGACCTGTCCACACATGTTCCGAGTAGCATTCTTTGTAATCACCCAAACTGGGAAGGGACCCAAATGCTTTTCAATTTGTGAAGAAATCAGTTGCACCACACCCTGCTAAGCTTGGATCTGCACATGTGTAAAAAAGAATGGAGTCCTCATACCTCAGGAACATAGATGGATCTCAAATGGGTCGTGCTGAGTGGAAGAAACCAGATTTCAAAAGCTCCACTTGCTGCAGGAGTCCAAACCTGCATCGCAAAACAGACAGAAAGGTAGGGCATGGTTGTCAGGTGTCTTAGTTTACCAAGACCCATACAACAAAGCGTCACAAACTGAGCAGCTTAAAGCCACACAAATTCAGTTTACCATTTGAAGCCAGAATCTGAAATCAAGGTGTCAGCAAGATCAGGCTCACACACACACACACACACACACACACACACACACACACACACAGAGGAGGTTCCAGAGAATTCCTCCCTGTCTCTTCCCTCTGGCTTGTGGTCATGTTGCCCCTCCCTTCTACAAGGACAATTGGTGTGGCAGTTGGGGTCTGCCTAGGTAATCCTTGTCCTGGGATCCTACCTTAATTAATTTGCAAATATCCCTTTCAAATATAGCTCTATTTATAAACCTCCAGGATTTAAACTCAGTGTCTTTGAGTGGCTATAATTCAACCCACTGTAGCAGGGCTAAGAAGAGAGATGCTCCTACATTCTTGGGGCATGAAGAAACATTTTGGGGGATGGGAGTGGTATATAGTCATATCCAGATGCTGCTTCGAAACTCTTCCAATTTGGTACTGGCCCAAATTTTGTCCGAGGACTTCCTTTTGGTTTGGTACTCAATGCTTCAGCTACAACTTGCTCTGGCATCCGTTACCTCTGAGCTCAATACCTGTTTCAGCCAAAACAATCTGGTACTCATTGGTTTTGGTATTTTTGGTACTTGTCATGCCTCTAAAAAAGGAAAAGATTAACCACAAAGACCACTATAATTACAGTGGTGGTTACATAATTGGTGCACCTGTCAGAACCCACAAAATGGCACATGTCTCCCAGCTGCCCCAAGTGTGAGCGGCAGAACTGGGGATGTACGGGCAGCAGGCTGGCACCAGACTCACTTTCAATGCAATCAAAGCACTGTTTGTTATTTGGGGGGTGAGGATAAGGTGTGATGGTGGTGACTCTGGGTCCCACTGCTAATAATTAAACAAAAAAGTTTGACAATGATGAGAGACAATGAGCTCTCCCACAGTGGCGAGACGGCATGACTGAAGCGCTTTGGCTCTCTGAATTCTTGCTTCGGGATTCCAGGAGGTAAAGCCCCTGCCCACTTTGAACCCAAGGGCAGGGTCTGGGATGCTCGGGCCTGGTGGGGGAGGGGAAGAGGGAGAAGTGGACGGAAATGATAGCAAGGAAGGGCATTCCTCTGACCCCTCTCCCCACAGAGCACTCATGCCCTATCCCCAGGGATGAAGCCTCTGTCCTCTGTCCCATTCACTCACCCCAGCTGATGCCACACACCCCCACCAGGGGCCTCCCCTCCTCCTGTCATTGTCTGAGGGCTCAGATGGAAGGAAGGCACATTAACCCTTTCATGCCCTCAGTGCTGCACTGTGCAGCTGTCACCGCGGCCTCAGGCCCGGAGCTGGAGAGGACCCGGTAGTTAATCACAATTAGAGAACAGCGTGTCAGCTGCGAGGCTGGCCTTGCCCATCGGCTGCCAGCCGGTCCAGGCCAAGGGACGACCCTCAGCAGCCACACAGTGGGTTGGGAGACCCATGGAAACAGAAGCCTTCCTGATTCTTTCTTGGGGACCGCCTTGAAAACTCAGCCAAGTGGCCTCCATCCCATAGCAGTAGTATCCAACGCTTTGATTTTTTTTTTTTTTTTTTTTTTTTTTTTTGGTCTTTTTCGTTTTTATCGGTACCAGGGATCGAACTCACAACTGCCTGCTTGCAAGGCAGGCGCTTAAGCTGCTGAGCTAAATCCCCAGCCCCATCCAACGCTTTGAAATCCACCAAGAGCCCCACCCTCAGCATCCCTGCCTCGTGTTCACGTGGCCAGTTCTTGGCCACCTCCTCCAAGAGGCCTTCTCTGACTGCCTGGCTGAGGTGACACGGCTTCCGATCACTCTCCATTGCCTGCCATGTGACCTGGTGTCTTGTCTTGTTTTATTCTCCCAAAGTGCTTGCCATTTCCTAGGGTCATTTTAGATTTTACCTGTTTTAGTGTGAATGTTAGCTTCCTACAGTTATAACAAGTTACCACAAATTAGGTGGCTTGAGACAACAGAAATGATGAGCTTTCCAGGCAGGGCCAAGGCCCAGAAGTCTGAGATCTAGGGGTCTCCTCAGAAGTGCTGAGGGAGGATGCTTCCTGGCCTCTTCCTGGCCTGTGGGGGATGCAGAGCACCTGGCTCAAGCTCCTTGGTCTGCAATCCATCTGTGCAGGCTCCGCCTCTGTTCATTATCTCAAAGTATCTTTCTACGTAGCTGTATGCAAACCTCCTCTTGCAAGGATGCCAGTGCCAGCCACTGCACTGGTGCCCTTCACATCCTGTATGACCTCATCGTCACTGATGACTTCTGCCTGTCCCTATTTCCAAATAAGACTACAAGTACAGGTGCAAGGTTCTGAGGGGAGCTCTTTTTGAAGGACACAGTTAATCCCCTGGCTGTGTAGTTCTCTGTCTATTCTAAGAGAGCAGGGCCTGCTTGCTTCCTCTCATGGATTGTATTCTCTATGCAGCCACCACTTAATTTAAAACAATATATTTTCTAAAGGATTCTGCTCAGGCCAGAGCTGGGCCCTAGAAGAGGCCTGAGATGCTCTAGGTGAAGAGAAGGCTGATACCTGGAGAGGACAGACCTGGGAACAGGGTCCTCCTAAAATGGCTTCCATCTGTCTCCACAATTCTGGGGTCCAGCTCACAACAGATGATAAGAAGCATGTTGATCTGATAGACAAGGGAGAGCATCCCCAAGTCTGGAGGGACTAACTCTGTGGAGGACTGGTGAGAACTGCCTAGGCATGAAAATTGAGGGGAGCCACACAGGGGGCACATGCATCTGCAGGTTGACATTGAGCATCCACAGAGAGGTACCAGGCACCTGCAAAGTTTCAGAGCACCAAAAAGAGCCTTTAGGGGGCTCTTCTTTTTCTTTTTTTTAAAAGTAGATTCATGTCGGGGCTGGGGATTTAGCTCAGCGGCATAAGCACCTGCCTTGCAAGCAGGCAGTCGTGAGTTGGATCCCTGGTACCGATAAAAATGAAAAAGCCAAAAAAAAAAAAAAAAAAGTAGATTCATATCAAATATGCATCTAACTGATCTTTGCATTTTCAACTAGTTTTCCATTATATAGTACATTCATTTTGCTAAAGACTCAGGTTATGCTTAGAGCTTTTCTCTTCCAATCCAAAGCTCCTCTCCTATAGGCAACCACTGTCCCCCATCTCTTCTAGACAGAATCAATGGATACAAGCACATGTCCTTGGTGTGTTTCCTTGATAAACATACAAGAGCACATAATGCATATGCCATTGCTATTCTGCGTCTTTTTTTTTTTCCTTCATCAGTATTAGAACCATGGGAGCTCTAAACTGCACACTTCATTTTGTAACAAGTCTCACTAAATTGCCAAGATGGCCTCAAGTAGCTGCCTAGCTGCCCAAGTAGCTAAAATTACAGACTTGTTCCACCATACTCAGCAATTCATTTTCCTTTTTTAAAACTACTGAGGTATCATTATATACAGTGAAACGTACCTGTGTAACCAGCTCCCTAATCACAATTCATAGCATATCCAGCACCCCAAGAAATCCTTTCATGCTCTTTCCTGACCTCAATCCCAGAGGTAGCCACTGCCATGCTGCCTGTGCTCACTGACTGGTTTTACCTGTTCTAGAACTTCATATAAATGGCACCATCACAGCATGTTATCTTAGTGCCCGCTCACTCTCACTCCACGTCTGAGATTCGCCCACAGTGGCATGTGCATCTCTTCACTGATCTGTACTGCAGCACACATTTCAAATGCACAGATACAAGATTTCTCGATCTTTGACAGTGCCACTAGGCTGCATCTAGATATTGTCTCTTCTATATTCAACTTATGAAATGTTTGTACAAGTCTTGGGGGTTTACTTCCTTTGTGCAAAAGCTTAAGAGCAAATTTGCCAGGCCATCGGGCAGCATGTGTTTAACTTTATAACAAACTACGAAACTGTTTTCCAAAGTTTAAGCCCCTCCGTGTCATTTCATGTCCATGCACCTGTCCATGCTTCATCTGTGATGTCCTGGAATTGCTCTAAACTGCCCCTTATCGAGAGACACTTAGGTTGTTTCATCTTTGGTTGCCACAAACAATGCTGCAGTGAATAATTGTGCAGATATGTCACACATCACATGGGTAAGAACCCCCTGGTACACCCTGTTAGAGGTGGCACCCATGAGTGTGACAGAGACTGATAGTTATCCCAATAATCAGGTTCTGCTTCTTCCTTTGAAATACACTCTCAGTTTTCATCTGGATGCGATGGTGCCTGAACACAAAACATCCTTTCTGGCCTCTACTGCAGCTTTGGTGGTCATGTGATCAAGATCTAACCAATGAAGCAGAATTAAAGGATCATAACTTTCAGAAAGCCTTTAAGGGGAACTTCTTCCCTTTTTGATTCTTTTCCCCTTTCTAATCACTGATAGACTTTCCATCTTGGGATACAGATGTGACAGCCAGCGTTTAACAGCCATTTGGAACCAAAAAATGAAAGCCATGCACTGAGAGATTTAGCGTAGTAAGATAGGAATCTAGGTCCCTGCGCTTCGGAGGACCACTTCCCACCTGTGGACTTCATTTATGTGTGAGAGACGTCTCTAACTTGTGTGAGCCACTACTCCCTATCTAACAGATGACTTCTCCCTACCCTAGCCCACCGTCAACAGAATGGCCTTGAGCTTCCTGCTCACCTCTGCTGCCTTCGCAGCAAGTTACACCGGGGCGCCCTTTGCCCTTACTGCGGCCGCTTTGCACCTACCGAGCCCCCCTCTCCCTCACTTGCTCTCATCTCCCACCGCCTCCTCCTGGGAGCCCCCTGGGACTCCTTCCTCTCCCAGGGGCTCCTCTTTGCTGCCCTCACTGGAGTTCGCTGGCCCAAACCGAAATGCTCTGTGAGTCTGGGGCGCTTGGGTGGGAACGAGGCGGGGTCAGGTCCTGATGGCGCTGTTCAAACGGGTCCACCTGCCT